AGCCACACAAAGCAACTACTGACCTGATGCCCTGCCAGAACCGGTTTCAGCTGCCCTTAAATGCCCCCCTGCGTCCAATCAGTGTGGACGCGCTAGTTCGAATTAGCAAAACGCTAATTCGAACTAGTTTTTAGTTCTAGATGCGTTAGTTCGAGTTAGCTTAGTTCGAATTAACTAATTCAAACTAAGTTAGTTCGAATTAGCGCTGTAGTGTAGACGTACCCCCAGAGCTTCTCCTTTCTCTCCAAGTAGACATTTATATAGCCCCATCACAAGCTGGTATCTGGGTGCCTTGGGAACTCAAGAGAAAGTACTCTACATTAAAGCCAAGAAGTTGCCAATACCAGATCAGGTTATTGGTCCATCTAGCCCTAGTATCCTGCCTTAGGCAAGGACCTGGTGGTTTCAGGGGTGGGGAACCATTTTTGAGTTGGGGGGCCACTGATCCACAGAAAAATCAGTCAGGGGCCCCACACAAGTGAGAAGCAAAATATAAAGAAAAACAAACCCTCACTGACGTGGCCCCCAACTAAGAAGGAGAAAGACACTCCCCACATTCCCCTCACACACCAGAGCCTAGGGAGCCCAGGCTAGATTTTGTGTGCTTCAGCTCTGCAGGTAGGAAGCTGGGGGACTGAAGCACCAGCACAGGCTTCCCAATGCTGAACCTCGGAGGTCAGATCCAGGCAAGCCAGGGGCTGCATCCGGCCCTGAGGTTCCCCACCCCTGAAGTAAGGAGACAGCATCGCAAGGCAGGTGAAAAGGGCAGACGGGGGAAAGTAGTCCTTCCTTTCTCTTCTGTATTGCTCTACATAAGAGCATAAGAATGGCCATGCTAAGTCAGACCAGTGGTTCATTTAGTCCAGTATCCTGTCTTCCAACAGTGGCTGGTGGCAGATGCTTCATAGGGCATGAATAGCACATGGCAATTACTGAGTGTGATCCATCCTCAGTCATTAAGTCCCAGCTTCTGGCAGTTGGAGATTTAAGGACACCCAGAACATGGGGTTGCACCCATGACCATCTTGACTAATAGCCATTGATGGACTTATTCTTTATGAACATATCTAATTATTTTTTGAACCCCGTTATATTTTTTGCTTCCACAGCTTCCCTTGGTAATGAGTTCCACAGGTTCACTGTGCCTTGTGTGAATTATTTCTTTATATTTATTTTAAACACTTGATGCCTATTAATTTTAGTGCATGGCTCCTGTTTCTTGCATTACATGAAGGGGTAAATAACACTTCTTTATTCACTTTCTCCACACCATTCATGATTTTATAGACCCCTATCTTTTTAATCTTTCCTAGTCTGTTTTTGTTGCCCTTCACTGTATCTTTTTCTAATTCTAATGCATTTTTAAAAGATGGGGCATGCAGTACTCAAGGTGTAAGAATGCCATGGATTTATATATAGTGGTATTATATTTTCTGTCTTATTATTTATCTTTTTCCTAATAGTTCCTAACATTGTTAGCTTTTTTGACTGCCGCTGCACACTGAGTTTTGAGAGAACCAACTACAATGATTCCAATATCTTTTTCTTGAGTGGTAATAGCTAATTTAGACCCCAACATGTATGTATGTATAGTTAGGATTATGTTTTCCAATGTGCATTACTTTGCATTTGTCAACACTGAATTTCATCTGCCATTTCATTACCCAGACACCCAGTTTTGTGAGATCCCTTTGTAACTCTTTGCAGTCAATTTTGGAGGTCACTATATTGAGTAATTTCGTACCAACTGCAAACTTTGGCACCTCACTGTTTACCTCTTTTCTATATCATTTGTTAATATGTCAAACTGCACTGGTCCCAGCACAGATCATTGCGAGACCCTGCTACATACTCTTCTCCATTGTGAAAACAAATCATCCATTCCCACCCTATCTTGGGCCCCCTCCTTTTCTTATGACTGCTTTCTTTGCTCTAGTGCCAATTCCTGTAGAGGCCAGAAGTGAAGGATCTGATCATTTATTATGGGGCTAGCCATCCCACTCCCCCCAGGGTGGGGCTGCAGTGGTACATCTCTAAAACCAGGCAAAAAAAATCACTTGAAGAGTAAGAAAATAGGATGCGCTGAAGGGCACCCTGGACAGCAAGAGTGAGCATGTAAAGCTGGGAGAGAGCCACAAGCAGAAAGAGCTTCTGAAGCAGACAGACACACGATGTAAGTGCTTAGTGCTGTACATGAACATGTGATTGGCCCAGAAGAGGAGGAGGCTGAAGGAGGCTTGCAGAACCCTTTAGCTGTGTCCTCAGGTTGGTGCACACCACTGTGGTGTACTCCCAAGAATGGTAGCCAATTAGAGGGCACGTGTACAAGAGAATTGGGCACCTCCAGAGCTGAGTCTCTAACTCCTGTGTGACCTGAAGAGCTTGAATACCAGGCTCCCACTCTGTAACCAAACTCCACAAATGGGATTTGACAAAAAGGTGACGTGGGAGCACAACTAGGCCTAGGGCTGAGGAAGGGGTCAGCGGCAGGCCCTCTTCTGGGTCTTGCGTCAGCTTCCCCAGGGTTCAGATTACTCAGTGGAAGGTAAGATGCACAAGACACACACAGATGACTGGAGCCACATAGGTAGCTGGGGAGGGGAGGACACTGCTTCCTCTCACATATCAGCCACTTGGCAAGTTTACAGCACAGGAAACGGTCTGGACAAAAGCTCTCTGTGCTGCGAGGTACTCTGCGAAAGGATGCAGATGCTAAGGGATGGGGTGATGGGAGGTGAAATAAAGAGCAGCTGGGACCGTCATGCCCTGCTGCTGGCTCCTGGACGCTAGCTCCCCTACATCCCCATCACCATAAGCACACATGCTGCTCCTCTCGTTACGCAATCCCCTGCCAGCTCTCCCCAGCCACCCCCCATGCCGCCAGGGGCCTGTCCTCACCTCGGTGTCGGTTGGTCGTCTTGTCAAACATCAGCATCGCATCATCCACCTGCAAGGGGCACAAAAGAGGAAAGGGCTCAGATGAGGTTATTACTGAGAAAGAGCTCTCCCCTGCTTTCCTTCCTTCTGGCCAGCCCAATGCCAGAGAGAAAAAAGATGTCCCCAAAGCAGAACCTGACACAAAAATTAACTAATTGTGTACCTCTGGGAGGCCTCAACCCAACAACAGGACAGGATTTCCCCCCACATTAAAGCTTTCCCGTTGTACTGAAGGCAGGGGCTCCCAGCCTGAACTAATAGGCCCATCACCATCCAAACATTAGGATGCTAGAACAGGCTCCCACCTAGTCATGACTGCCCCTCGGAAGGGGAGGCACTTTGCTTCCCACTGAGCCAGGAAGTGCCCTGGACAATTTGCCTGCAACTCCACAGAGGGGCACAAAGCACAAAACATATTGTTCTGAAACCAGGGTCTCAAAATGGAGAGCGAGCGAGTCTGTCTCTGCGTGTGTGTCTGTGTGCATGCACTGAAGCCTGAGAGGAGAGAAGGAACACAGGGCCTCACAGAAACAGGGAAAATGGAGGCCTCAAGACAACAGAGACTCTGCTTGGGGACTCTGGGAAACCACCTCCACCCCAAAGGAGCTTTCCTTTTAGTGAGGTTTCCCACTGCTGGAGGGTGTAATTAGAGCACATTTACTGCAAAGACAGAGCTAGTGCTGCCTACTGCACGGCGGGAGGGGACACCTCAACCATCCCCCTCCCCCCAAACCTGAGGCCACTCTCCCCTAGGGACGTAAGTGACTAGTCGACTATACGATAAGCATAAGCTTATAGGATAGCCTAGGGACGTAAGTGACTAGTCGACTATACGATAAGCATAAGCTTATAGGATAGTCAACTACTGATGCGACCAGTTGCTTCCTCCCCTTGCTGCCTCTATCA